TTTTATTAATTCTTATAACATTCTAATTTTCTATTTCTAATACAAATACTACAATACCATCTTATGTACCTTGCAGAATCTTCTTTTTTAAAGAAATTATACATCACCCTTTATCCCTGAAAAAAATTCCTTTTTTCCCATCTTGTTTCATACCTTTGTGGCTTTCCCCCCACTTTTCCCTTCCTTTCTTATCCCACCTGGCCTTTTTACCTCCCCCTCTAATAACCTCCGCCTTTTTAGCTTCCCCTCTCTGTTGTATTCCTTTTTTCTTTTGCTTAGTAACATTGTGTTGATTTTGCATCTTATTTTTCTCTTTCTTGAGTGTTTTTTTAAGTCTTAAGTCCTTCATTTTCCTTCCTCTCTTTCTCCTTTCTCTCTTAATTAAATTTTTAGATTCATTGAAGATGGCGTCTTCTTCTTCTTGTTCTTCTTCTTCTATTTCCTCCATCTGTTGTTGTGTTTGCTGATAAATAGCAAGCGCCATTTCTAAAAAAAGAAAGGCTTCCTTCACAGCGTCCTTGCTTTCTTTCTTTATTTTTCCATATTCCTTAAGTTCATCAGCAGGTAAAGCCATTGTAAATCTTTTCTTTGTTCTTTTTCTTAAAGCAACCAAAATGTTTCAAAAGTTAGAACAATTCCCCAAAGTCCCAGAGACATCAGTCCAAACAAAGCACAAAGTTCTCACTTTCTCTTCCTGGGATGGTATCAATAAAAAGGAAAAGAAAAAAAGCCCAATCTGTATTTTAGAGCCTTGTTGCAATTAATTTCCAGTCTCAAAATCTTCAAGGCATCTCCTCCAGCAAGATCTTAATATTTTTTTGTCCTCTCCCTTCCCACTTATAACAAGAAGCCAAGTTTTTACCTTTTATAAAAAAAAAGACAGGTTTCTCAATGGCCATTTGTTGATTCCATAGGGAAGGAAAGTAAACTTTCCCTTTCAGCACCTCAGTTTTGCCGCTTGAAATTCTCCTCTGGAAACAAAGTATCGTTCAAGAAGTCATAGTTTTCAGGATTAGGCGTCTCTTAAAGTCCTGGGTCAGCCAAAAAACTTTCTCTTAGAATCTTTCTCCCCTCTTCCTCCTGCTCAGTCTTACCCAGCTGCCGGCTTCTTTGTGGCGGCCATTACAGACCGCCGCTCGACCGCCTTGAGAAAAGGGGGTTTAGCCGGCTGGGGAGGGGGTCTGCAACACCCCCAAACCCTTCTCCGGATCCCCCTTATCTTCGGCTGCCTCTGCGGGGCAGCCTTAGCCTCCAGATCCGTCAGGATCGGAGGCACCAAGACGGCTAGCGCCGCAGGGATCGCGCAGGATCGCGAATCCCTGCCGCTGGCGAAGCCGACAAACCGGAAGTTTTTGAGTTTCATTTCTGCCTTCTAGGTATCTCATGTAATATTTAATATCCCACTTATTTAAAATTGGCCTTTTTATATTGCATATGTATTCTCTTGTTCAAACAACTTTTAAATAAATAATGTACAGTATAAATGTGAAGAAATAATGGGTAAACATCTTAACTCGTAGCTTACACGTATAACTTTTTTCTGCTATTGACCAGAGAAGCTATTAATCTTTGACCTTTCATTTCTGCCCATAATAGCATCAGAAACTTAAGAATTTGCAAGCTGGTATATAATACAGTTTGCTAAGGGGCTATTTATAAGTGGTGTTAACAAGGCTTTTCATAACCTCCTATTTAAAGCTGGAACTTTATATGCCTAACACTGTACGAGAAAACATTTACTAGAGCACTGGACAAATATAATAGTGTTAGTCTAGCAAGAAAGGGCAGTACTTGGGAGATGTAAATAGAGGATTCTCCAAGGTTTTTTTTTTAAACAATTGAGAATTGGTGCTTTTAACTTGTTTGTAAAGAGTTTAGAAAGTGATATGGGCAATGAAATGACCAAGTTTAGTATTAACTTCAGACTGTTTATGGTGCTTCAAACAAAAGAGATCATAAAGAATGTTAAAAAAAAAAACTCAAGTTGGGGAATGGGGAATGAAATGTCAAGTGCACTTCAAAGGAAGTGTAAAAAAGTGTGTACAGCTGGTACAAATATGTTAATTTCATGTGTGGTAATGGAGTCTAAATTCGTTGCTGGAGAAGGAAAGGTTGCTTAACAGACTGATTGACAGAAACATGTTTCAAGTGTGCAGATGCCTCATGGTGGAACCCCTCGGAGAAGGAATTGAAAATAGAACTGGTAGTTTTATAATCCATTCATACAAATCAGTGCTGTCATTGGGTTCAAGATACTGCATGCAGTTCTGGTTACCGTACCAAAAACAAATACTGTAGAATATTCTACAATACTCTATGAAGTGAATTACAAGTAAAGAAGAATCCTAAATGATGGAAACAACTTAGCAATGAGAACACTTTTTTCTCTTTCTGGCTGGTGGAGGTAGTAAGAGTTGATATAATAAAATTGTACAGGTAAAATGCAACTTGATATCATCCAGTTAAAAGGTCATATGTTTCCACCAGCTGCAAAATAGTAATCATTTCTGTAAAATATTGCTAATATAAAGGGATTTGCGATTGAAGTGTGTACCAATGTGAATTCCTGCCTTACTTTCAGGAATAATAGAAGTCTATGTTGGCCAGTAACCTTTTATTTATTTGTCTGACACCTTAGATACCAATTTGCCATGGTGATAAAATAAGATTTGTATGTGTTAAATATTGTATGTGTACCTTTGCATCAGTACATAAATTAACAAATCTCTTGTTTGTAGGTTCTGTAGCAAATTTGCGTTATTGCAGCTTCCTGTTTGAGAGATGGGGCTAAAATGTGGCATTAAACATGCCACAATCTTATTCTTGAGTCTCTGCATTATCTTTTTTGCCTGTTCATAGATTTTGCAGTACCAGCACCAGCAAGTAAGATGCAATAGCAATTAAAACACCATCTTGAACTGTAAACTGATTTTGTAAGAGTATGATTATAGCAGAATGAAGACGCAATAAGTAGTCTAGCTTTTCATCATTCCTCTCTGGACAAGAAGATGACTTGAGATCATCTCCTGTGCTCTAGACCAGTGATGGCTAGCTAACCTTTCCATCCTCGCATGGCAAGAGTGTGTGTGCGCGCATATGCTAGCACCCATAAGGCAATGCACGCAGGGCCCCCCACTGCACATGCACATGCAACCCCCATGATGCCACATGTTCATGTGCATATGACCATCCAAACGTGCGCCACACTTGTTTCCTGCCCGTGCCCTGCACATACGCAGCAGCTACCTGATGATCAGCTGGTGGGCGGCGCACGTACCTGCACAATGAACCTGCTCTGGGGTGATGGTTCAGCAAGCCACTTCCGGCACATGTGCCATAGGTTCTCCATCACAGCTCTAGACAGTTGTTCCTCTTAAGGAAACCATAAGATAGTGGCCTCTAGCAAGTTTAGAGCTCTAGAAAGTGAAGGAACAGCCATCTTGCTCAAATCACAGTTGTCACCTAGATTTGCTTTTCTGCTACTGGAAAATAATACTACCTCCTCATGGTTTTCAGAAATTACTACTTAGCTGCTTTTAAGCTATTAGGAACCTTTGGATTGACAAATCAGAAAACACTGGGTGACTTTTCTTCAATCCTTAAGAAATTTTAAGTATGTGTTTACAAAAAGGTCATTAGAACTTTGATTTTAGACAGTTACAAATGGACTAAGAATCCAGATGGATTTGAAATAAAATTTTGGAATTATAAGAATCATTCCCCTGAAAAACTGCTTATGTTTTAAATTCTTTATAAAAAATGGTAGGATGAGATTTTGAAGATTTGACCCTACAGGGAACTAGAAAGAACTAAAGATTATAGTTAAAGGAGAAGAGCACTTAAATTTGACTTACTAATACAGAATGAAACCAAATATTTTAATATTGGGCATATTGAAGGATATTTTTGAATAATGACTCCCAGAAATTAATTTTAAGAGCATTTGCCTTTGTAGATTGGTAGACTGTGTTTCACAGATGTTATGAAAAAGGAACAAGTTTTACCTGAAAAGATTGAGGCTGATCTGAATGTGGCTTTAAAAATGTCAAACTTCAAGAACGATAGGGAGGAAGATGCTATACTGGATATACAAGAGAAACCAGCTGATCTAAATGAAAAAAGATAGGCAAATAACAAATCAAGAGAATGACTAAGATAATTTTCCTATATTGGATTTACAACAGAAACTTGTTTAAGCTTTGAAGATCATTGTGAGAAGGGATAAAGAAAAAAAATCAACTTCTAAGACATTATTTGAAGGGACTAAAATTAAGGTTGTTAGAAGTAAAAGGAAGGAATATAAAATTGGTTTATTTCATCTGAGTTAAAATGGATGTGTTATTATCCCTGATAATTCTTAATTATCTTTTGCTGATCAGAACTGAAATGAGGAAACTTTAAGAATTTGCTGATGGATAAGAGATGAAATATGGGAAGGCATTTGTTATATTTTATGAGAAGGGGATAAGTTACGAAAATTGTTTTTACTTATGATGAAGTTTTTTCATTACTGTGTTCTTACTTTTTCTGTTTTTCCCCTTTTCTGTGTCTTTATTTTTAATTCTTCAGTTTATATTAATTTTTATCTTTGCAATTGTAATCTTAATGAAATTATTATAATCTTTAATATATTACTATAATAAAAAACAGTGTAGGCAGATTACTCAACAATCCAAATGTAGCTTCCAGGAAAGATAAAATGGAAGATGTGAATAAAACCACAAACGCTATCTTAAGCCATTAGTAGAAAAGTAGATGGATAATAAGGCCAAGCCAAGACGAACCTTTCCTTAATCTAGGCCTCTCAAGATGGTCTTTTCAATTCCTTGTAGGGTAAGTTTTCTGGGAATTGAGAGTTCCAACCCCTTAGAGTATCACAGGTTGGATAACGTGTAGCTTAAGTGGGTTGTTCTAATCTGGTTTGAGTATTTTTGTATGTTGTACATACATTTATGTGAAGTTTGGAAAACCTTCAAAATTGTGTTTATTATGTCTCATAGGTCCCTTCACAGATGTTGTCACCACAAATCTGAAACTTGGCAATTCAACAGATAAAAATGTCTGTTTCAAGGTGAAGACTACGGCTCCACGCAGGTATTGTGTACGACCCAACAGTGGAATTATAGATGCTGGAACGTCAATTAATGTCTCTGGTAAGTTTTTCCAATTGGTTTCCTCCACTCATAATCATTTTGGTTCTGAATATATCTGGAAGAGAATAAACAGATGTTAATGGCTTGTGTAAAGCTGACATTTTGAACAACCCTATATATTCTGCAAAGTTTCTTTAAAAATTACAGAACTCTCCTGTTTTCAGATGGAATTATAATTGGAGATGACGGAGTAAACGGCATAACACAACCTCTGGTTTTGGTACTTTCTTCGCCAGTTTCACTTGGAAAGCGTAGTCTGATGAAAAATTGTCATTCTAATCTTATGTAAGACAACTTTCTGTAACTTTGTACTTTTAAATTATGTTACAAGTACAGTTTCCAGAATCTTTGGATTTGTACTCCACTATCTTAGAATTCTGGAGATTTTTTTTTTCCCCAGCAACTTGGAAAGCATCAGGCTAGGGGAGGATAGAATTTGCTGAAAAGGATTGATTAGGAAGGTTTCCAAATGTTGCAAAACTGGGTTCATATGGTGACAGATATTTAATAACTACACAGCCTTCTATAGTAAAATTTCAGTCTCATATTTCTGAGAAGTAATCTGTTACTTTCAGCATATTTTTCAAGTAACAGAAGAAAAAGGCATATGGTATACTTCTACTCTATCCATTGTGTATACACTAAATTAGTATAAGTTTTTTTAATGTCTTGGTCAGATATTTGCATTGATTCATTGGTTATTTGGTGATTAATTTTCCAAGTGTTCAATTATCTTTGCTGGGATTTGTTGAGAAAAAGAACACTTATAGAAGGGAAATGGATATGCTTAATGATTAGTAATACAGTTATACAAAATATGAAATGGAACAGTTTGTAGAGCCTTCAAACTCTTAACTGATTATAAAGGTTGGATATTTGTATCCAGATTTTTGAAGTACTATACATCTGAGAAAGTTGCAAATGCTGATTATGTGATGCATGCCGTTTTTCAAGTGCCCAAATTTTGATCACATGACCATGGGGAGACTGCAACAGTGATAAGTGAAAGGACTGGTCATAAGTCATTTTTCTGTGCTATTGTAACTTCAGTCATTACAAGTCCCTCTTGCCCAGGAAACACATGTGTTGCCAAATCAAACTGGCCAGGGTGCTAGTTTTATTTAAAAAAAAATATTTTTTTTTTGATCTGTCCTTTTTTATTGAGAGAGATTCTGAAAATGGCACCTGGAAGAACAGTTGGGCAGATATTTTCATCAGTATTGCCAGTTTAATTTTGCTTATTTCATCAGTGTGTGATCTTAATTTCTTCGACAACTTTCTATAAAACATGTCTTCATTAGCATGTTTCCTTTTATCTTGTATGCCTATCTACCTTGAGCTCATTAGATGAGACCTTAAAACTTGGAATGACAAAGCATTTAACTGAAAGTAATGAATATCAAATATTTAAGAGCACCAACTGTTGTCTCTGCTGAATCACACTCATTACAAGCCAGGCTAGAAGATCATTTCTTTCTTTGTTTTAACAGCCTGATAGGAAAGGGTGGCTAATGTTTGGCCTTGACAGAATTCAAGGAGGATGAGATTTCAGAACTGCTGAGAATTACAGGGAATGTTTTGTTATTGCTCTTTGGTACTAAATCCATCTTCCCTAGATTTAGGACAGAAATGTCCCAGAAAACTATGTTATCAATGTCTCAAGGGTTTGTCACAATAATGCAGAGCATGGTATCCATTTCATAGATATTTAAAAAGGCCAACTGCTAAAACAGCTTTTTCTGTAAAGAGGCCATTTTTAAAGAGATATCCAGAGCACTTGCGCAGCAAATTGTTTTAGTTTAAATGAACTTTTTTGTAGCTGTTCTTCTGTTAGTTGCTTAATGGGAGGGAATGATGTGGGACAATGACTTCAGAATTAGGATTAAAGTGGAAATTCTGATCAATTTTTCTAACCTGCACTGATGATGTTAACCTAGTTTGGTGATAAAACATCTGCCCAGAAAACAACCAAGCTCAGTGAGCACCAAGAATCCCACAGTTCGATCCTGAGCTATAAATATTCTCTTCCATTGGTTTTCTAACCACAGTTTGCATCATTACAAACATAAATACATATGGTTTAAGCTTAGTGAGAAAATAATAGTCCTAAAAACCATGGTGAGCATTTAGGACAAAAGAGCGTATGATTATGATAACCTATAAAGAGCCATGGTAGCTCAGTGGTTAGAATGCAGTATTGCAAGCTAATTCTGCCAGCAGTTCGATTCTCACCAGCTTGACTAAGGCTTCCATCCTTCCAAGGTCAGTAAAACGAGGACCCAGATTGTTGGGGCAATATGCTGACTCTAAACTGCTTAGAGAAGGCTGTAAAGCACTCTGAAGCAATATATAAGTCTAAGTGCTATTATTATTGCTGTTCCCTGGTTTTAAGGATTATATAACCTTCTCTGTCAACAAAGAGCTTGAGGTTTATCTGTAATAGGGATAACATTCCAAGTATTCCCAGTCACCACAGACAGGAACTACCATAGCTTTATATTTGGACATGATAGTTAAGGACATCTATTCAATGTGCAATGAAGTAGTGAAGTTTTCCTTAATAAAATGCAATTTGCTAAAGAAGGAATTTTGTCTTCAGTCTTCTGAGCTTCCTTGTGTAGAGCAGACCTCACTATTTAAGAAATGGCTAGTGTAGTCCTGTAAGACCTCATCAGCATTTCCTTGCCTGTTCATGTGATTCATTACAAAACTGCTTAACTCAGCCATTTTCTCTTTTCATAGTATTTTACTCTGCTGTTGTTTCTATAACTGTCTCTTCTCATTTTCCCTTAATGAACTGGCAGGGAAAAGGGTGGGGTCCTGCAGTCTGAAGCATTGTCAAAGAATGACAGAGACTAAGTGGAAGGTCAGTTTGGCTTGAGCTATGATGTATTTAATAGGATTTCCATTACAGGAAGAGAGGTTAACGGAAGTCAAGCCTGAGAGGAAGTGTGTGATCAATTCGCAAATACTTAAAAGAGAGGGTTTGATAAGAAGTTTGAGGTGCCAAAGGAAACAGAGCACAACTGGTATTGAAAGAAAATGTTATGGTTTGGAAGAGTTTTGTTCACAGTGTCAACCAGCCAGACTCACTTAGAGAGTAGACGTTGATTTTTGTTCAACTTTCAGTGTCTACTCAATAGCCTTGTGTTAGACCTTGAGCCAGTAACTTTGTGCCAGCCCTAGGAAGAAAGCAATGGCAATAGCACTTTTAAAACAACCTTGCTAAGAAAATTGCAAGGATTTGTCTGGACAGTCTTTGAGAATCAGACATGATTGAACATAAGAAAAAATGTTTTGTGCTTTGGCAGAGAACACATTCTCCTATGAGCTGCTCCGAGCATCCAGTAGTGGGAGGTGCTTCAGTCTCCGCTTTCTTAGGCTGAGCTTGAATTGAGGAACGCTCCTCCTCCTCCACGTGACATCTCCACAGCGTTCCCCAGTTTTTGCTCAGCCTCGTGCGAGACAGGCTGTGTTTTCCCTTTGCTCCTTGGCTGAAACAGAACTTCGATCCAAAAGACTCAAATTGAGTGTTCAGCAGGTTTGACCTTCTTCTCTTTAGCCTCTGTGCAAGTTTAGAGTTTGAATTAACCAGGGGAAGCGCCATTGCGCCCCAGGAAGGCGGCGGGAGGCTCTGCAGCGGCTCTGCGCTGCCTCCCCATAGCCGGATCTCTCACTAAAAATATTTTCAAAATCTGTTCTTTAATCTAGTATTCATCCTCTATTCTTAAGGTAGGAAATTTTAGCCAAGGGAAATTACAGTATTCACAAGCATTATGACAGAAGCACCTCCTGCCTTAGCTTTCAAGCTACAGTCTAGGCCTCCAGGTTTGACTGCAATAACGTTGCAACAAAGTTACAACAGTGCAACTTACAGAGCATTTGTGTAAGTGAGCCTTGCAGCCTTCAAGGCATCCCTAGGGATTGCTATTAAATCACAGAAGATGTGAGCCACCACTGGTGTTTTCCAAACCTGTAAAGTGGATAGTTAGGTCTCAGGTTCATTCAGAATAGAAATCCGGGCTCAGATTGTAATGGGAAAAAGCTGAGTTCCATATTAAGTTGATTATGAGTTTATAGAAATGTCTGCACTCTTCAAAACTTTCTCTGCCTTGCAAATTTCTTGTTTAGTTCTTCTCTCTTCTCTTCTCTTCTCTTCTCCCCTTTCTGCCCACACTCAGTCAGACCTTTGCAATCTTTTCTTTCATTCTTAGCAGTAATTTAATTTTGCAATCTAAGGTAGGAGCAGAAACTGTTATGTCTCTGTCCCCTCATTGCGTGGGGTGGGGGAGGAATTTCACCGTCAAATACTCCAAGGATGACCTTATCTGTATTTCGGAAGGCATAAACACTTAAACACAGTCTAAGATTCTTGACAGAAATATGCAAAAAACATTATCTTGGCAAAACGGACAAACATTTTCTATAACATTTGGAAGTAGCTCAGACAGATGCCCCCCCCCCCCCCCCACTTCTCTCACTGAAAAAAAAAAAAAAGAAGAGTGTTTCACAGACATTCAGCAAGGATGAGCATAGAGACCTCTCATTCATCACACCTGCCATCTTTTATCTTTATTTTTATATGTTTTTGATCTTTGTGAGCT